TTTTCGTAAGACAGACTGTTTACGTTAAATTTAATTGCGATTTTGTACGCTATTGTTGCATCCACCTTTGCCTAAGAGGTTCTTTCAGTTTTGCTCGTAGGTTACAGGTAGTTTGGTGCCCAAGTATTGCAAAAGAGGGGGCAAATGAGAGAGTGAGAATGGCAGCAAGCGGAATGAGGCCCTCAAAAGTTGGCAGGCTGTAGAGTAGAATCCCCTCTTGCGTCGTTGCCATCACCACCACCACCACCTCCCTTCTGCTGCCTCCCAGTGACCACAGTCAGCGTTATTGAAGCCGGAAGACACTCCATCACAACAACTGTGACAACGAGGAAACAGGTTTTTTGACAGGCTCCCGATTACAGTACAGGCAAGTCTTCGAGTTGATAAAATTAAAAGTAAATGATTACCAAATAAATCAGTCATTCGAGCGATTTTGAGAAAAGCCCCAATTCAATAGCCAACTTTAAATGTGAGTGCTGCTGTCCAAGAAACTCTTAGTGGTCACCAGAGGACAGCCTGGAAATAAAGCAGTTCACCCCAAAGATAATTACTGCATCGTTCCTCAGTACGGGCTTTGCGATTTCGCAATGTTTTCCCACTTCAATGTGGGGAAATCAATGAATGTGCACATGGCTCCACAATGCGTATTGCCAATTTGCACTACGATTCTAAACATTATGAGTATAATTAAGTGACCATCCCGAGACGAATGGTTTTCAAAGTGGTCTAGACTTTTGGCTAATGGCTTCGGGGACCCTCGATAGCTTAGGAGTGGATCATGATCAACGTAACAAAGCTTCCCTAAGGTCCCAACCTCACCTACACCCCAATTTTCCCTACCTCAATAAACAAAGCATCTTCGGTTGAGATCGTTCCCTGTTAGAAAGAATTGTGGGCTTGTTTATCAAACGAGAGGGGAGGACTTAACCCTCACTACCCAAATTTTAACTTGCAATATTCATAACTAACGGTAGTAAAGCAGTAGCATTTAGCGCACAATGCTTTTAAATAAACGAAAGCGTGTATTATTTGGTAGGACGTCTCAGTATTTTAAAGGAAAGTCGGTGGAGAGGAGTTCTTTAAGAAATGAAGCAGATGGCTTCAATTATTTCCTCCATAAAACATCGTTTTTATCCATTCTACTAGTCCCTTGATTTCCCTGATACGTATTTCATGTAACTGCTAAAAACAGGCGTCGCCAATGTCTTCATATTTGAATGCTTTCGCTGGGATTCGCTATCGGATTGGACCTCCATTGTGAATTTGCATAACACAACTCACGACTCCCAGGGAATGATGAGGAGACAAGACGAGAAAGGGACCATTTGTTGATTCAACCACTAAGTGGAGCTGTCATGTTAACGTAAAAGTAAGAAGTTCAAAATAACTATAAAATTTGTAGAGGACTTAGTGAACGAGAGGGTTTGAATGAGTGTCAATACATTCAATGCTAAAAAGGAACTTCACGGTCAGCAAGCGACATTCACGAGTCAACTGCCCCCAAAGTAGGCAAGCGAAATTTAGTTAGAGGATCGCGTAAAAGGATTACAGCGGCCAATAATTTTCTAATGGATTTGACCGACTTAAGTAGAAATAGCCACAACCGTCAAGATCGTAAAAGTGTTGAATGACCTCTAACTGGGCTCTAGTTAGGATTTTAATATAACTGTTTTTGTGCAAGATGTGTATTAATTCCAAGTAAAACTTGAGCAATGGCGTCTAACCTTAGCTACACTCTCCACCATAAATTGACATTCCTGTGTGGGGATAATCTGACATAGAAATACTCCTTTTTTTTCTTGAAAAGGAACTTCTAGGCTAACACTTGTCATTTTAGGCTCATAGCGATATTTAATCGAAGTGTAAATTAATCTCCGAAATTGACCTGAGCGTTTATGTATTTGCTTCCGCCAATTCACCCTTTCGCCATATTTAGGATACGTGACACGAGAAGCTCCTTCCTAAAGTGAATTTGTCGAGGAATGTAGTCAAACCCACGCCCGTGCGGCCCTTATTGTCCCGAGGCCATCCATAGGACACAAACTAAGGTACCTTGTGCACTCACGTGTTCGCTCACTCAGAATTCCTGCTCGTTAGCGTTTATTGAGACTCAGCGAGAGGATCGCCGCACGGTGAATTTACCCACTGAATGCTTTAGGCTCAAAATCTTCTATGCCACCAATAAGTTGTCGTTAGGTTTAGAAATTACTGCGGATAAATGCAAAAGCACTGAAGATTACCAGGAAGTACATACAGCCAACTCCAAAATAACACCTTAAAAATGTAACATTGGTCATCAGGTACAATTCAAACACTGCGATGAAATTAGTGAAGATGTTAACTGTTGGCAAAACTAGCTCCAACGACACCATTAAGTATTTAACTTTCACTCTGTGTTTGGTCTTTCGGTGGTTGCTTAAAGGTCTTCTAACGCCTTGACTAGTGGGTGATTTTAAATCCTGAGAAGCCTAGATCATTGTTTGATTTGCGTGGACCTACCAGTACCTGAACAGAGCTTCAGTAAAAACATTATACTGACTGCCAACACTCTCAGTAGGGATTTCAAAAGCTCATATCCCTGCCCTTGAAACGTACTTTACGTGGGTAACTCCAGTCCTTTCAGAGAGATAAGTAGCTCCTTGTAAGTTCGCCTAGTGCCTTTGAGAAAACCCACACAACCAACACTCATCTCTCGTTTTAAACTGGTATTTCTGTCTGCTGCTGCCAATTCACACCAAAGGCTGAAGTGTGATCCGATCCCGCAATTGATGCTTCACGGCACTCGTTAATCACGAAATATGCGAAAGTCCACACAACGTACAATACGTGTGGGTAAGCTACCATTCTGACCGCTGATCTGTATTGGCTACGCATTCCTACAGCTCGAATGCGCTAAGTGTGTATGAGTATACGTAAGCACTCGCGCGCGCAACTGAGCTAACACGAGGAGAAGAGGCCCTGTATCGATCGGTAAAAAACATGCGCACCAGCGCGTTTAGAGCTATGATCGCTTGGGCTTGCGCGCACGTGTGCGCACGTGCATGTCAGCGGGGTGGCACGGGGTGGTGGCAGCCCACAAAAATGCGCGGCCTCACGCGCGCATTCGAGTTAAATCACGGATGGCTGGACAGTATATGGTTGGTTTTGACCATCGAAGTATCTGCTGAAGTGCTGCTTGATGGGAAGTATCTTGCTGTAAGCACTTTTCAATAACGTAGGATGTGAGCACATATTTTGACTAATGTTCTAGAGAAGTCCTTTGGAGGTAAGAAGTATTAGTGAGTTCCAACTCCACATGACTTTGACTCTCGGGTTAGGGGCAAGAGATAAGTCGCTACTTTTCACACGTAAGTTTAGTCTTTCTACTTTAGTAGAACCGAACCATTTGGCTTTTCTAGATTGGGTTTGAGGTGGTGTTCGTGGACGAAACCTAATGTGATTAGTGTTCTTTGATCTTACTGGCGATTCAAGTGAGGCCACAGTTTAATTTAAAATTAATCAAACACCTTCTTACCTTGACCAGATGTACATGATAATTCATGGATGGGAAGTCACTTGCAACTTTACCGGTCAAAGTTAAACCAAAGAAAATAGTTTCCAAAGATACTCTCGACAGTGAATGGACCCACATAATGCGCCATCAAGACTATCAATTGCTAACAGTCTATTTCTGATACAATCTGCTAGGTATTCTAGCTTTGCATTTAAATAACTAACACATACGACAGAGATGTTATAATTGGAGTACATGGAAGGGGCACGCGACAATTAAGTGACTTGACTTGGGGATCCTTAGATCGGAGGCTCCGTATTCATGCTATAGGCGTAAGCTAGTATTAACTATTACTATTAAAACCTGGTCATTAAACTTCGGAAATCGATAGACATTTTGGCAAAAATTTGGAAGTATTAGTGTCGGTACCTGAAATCCTTTTCAGTCGATTCTCTGACGAATTTAGTTAACAAGCTCCATGGGTCATGCAATCCTGATTGATTCTATGCGGAATGCATTCCTCCCATCTTTTAAAACTGCACTAGTTTACTCACATTAAGAACATTCTGGGTTTAAAATTTCTCAAAATCCATCTTCGTACAGACATCACGTGAAATGGGCAAATTCGTCAAGGTTTTAAACTGGTTGATAAGTTTGTCGAGTGTGTGTGAGGGGTGTTAGATCTGATACTTCTCATGAACTTGTGAATCCGTGTCAAGAAATATCCCTACGCACGTGCGTTGCTCGAAAACTCGCTGGCGCGAGCTTGGGAAGCCAAGCAGGGGGCAAGAGAGGCCCTACCGATTGATTGACCGAGTTCGGGAAGCGCGCGAGCGCGCGCGCGCTCTCGTGAATGGTGCACACACGTGAGCCTGAGTTGTGGTCGTTGCACGTGCGCACACGTGACACTCGCCAAGCAGTCGGCAGTAGTCTGTGAGAGCTTCACCCCCTTTTCGAGCATGATGAAGGGAAGGAGGCAGCGGGTGGAGAGGGGCAAACTGGACCCATACAGCGTACGCGCGTCCCTAAGGGGACAGGACCATGTGTGTGATTACTCATTCGTTGCGGCCGTAAAATTGAGGCTAACACGTTACAGTCCAACTCGGTTGGATGGTGTTACGGCTAGCCTTATCCAACGTTGGTGTTAGGTAGCGGATATTTCCTCCATGTAGGTTTTCTGTGGAAAACTTTTCTGCTTTCTGAAGAGGGTGATGACTCAGAGGCAAATATTTTGGGATTTTGTTTAATATGGTGTTGTGACTAAATTTATCGCATGGCGAGGGAAAATGAATCAATTCGTAGTAAAAGATACCAGCATCAGATAAATCACTTGATGCTGGGCCAATTTAAGAGGTCATAAGGTGAAATTATGAGAAGCCTATTTCTTGGGCATTATTCAGCAAGTGAACTTTTATCAAGGAAATTGAGATGAACTCAATAACTGGAAACAATGCCTGCCCAAAGAAAGACGAAAAGGCAATTTAATTGGAGGGTCCTTGACTTGCAGCACTCGCAGTTAGCAGGTCATCTAGAAGTCTTTCAACCATGGTAAGTTTAACTTCAGCAAAATGTTCTGATTTTAAAACGCCTCGTGGCTGGGAGCCATGAACTAGAACTGTCCTCAAGAGTAACTAAATTATTTTTTTTGTCTGAACATGAGACGTGACATGTGTTGTGTTCTGACTCCTGGAGGCTTAGTTTCACACTAAAAACGTGTAACATTTTTCAGCAACCTCAACTGCCAATTGCCACTTCGTTTGTGTGCGTGCACAGTGCCACAAAAGAGTAAAAAGGTGTTGCAGCAGTAAACCACCATTAGCTACCCTAAGTTGCGGTTGGTGACAAGCTCCTGTTTGCCGTCTGCCTCATCCCCTCCTCCCTTTGAAAATGTCATGTGTGTGTGTGTGTGTGAAAGCCCCCTTGACACGCGTCCAAGCCCCACACCGCGCCCCTCTTCACAATCCGGCCTGTTAGGGCCCAGTGGAGGTGGCGGTTGTTGGAAGAAGGGGGGAGAACAAAAAACAGGCATCTTCCGCTCTACAGGTAGGAGGTTTTCTTAATGGTGACAAGTATGGGCTGTTAGTTGTTTAACTCTACAGGCCTAATTACACCAAGAACATTCTTACTATCCAGCAAAACCGGCCAACTAGGCTTAATTGGCCTCCAAAGTGGACAATGAAGATTGGGGTGGCAACAAGGTAAGTGCGACGAATTCCACACAAGTGAACCAACGCATGCCAGATAAGCCCAGTTAGCTCTTGATTTAATGATTCTCACAAATTTTAATGATTTCTCCAGTTAAAAATAGATTAATATTTGCTGAATTTTCTTTGTGTTCGTGTGAGTGCCTAAAGAAGTCAACATTTTGGGGCCAAAATTTCGATATTGACTGTTCTATTTTTCACGTCTTTGCAAGGCCGTTCAGGAAAAAATTCTGACTACTTCCACACGTTTTTAAGCAACAACCTTGAGAGCGATTGACATGTTTGAAGGATGCTGCTTTAAATTTGACCGATAAATGCAAAAAGCCTATATGATGACCCCACGGCTACATCATCCATGAAAATTACTCCTACATTAGTCCGTCCAAACCACTCCATTCTTGGTATAATCAGGCTGTTTGTGTAAGTGGTGAAATTAAATTTTATCATTTAAGCACAACATACATTTATGGAAGGTATGGTCTTTGTGACTTGTGGAAAATCGCCTCTGAGAAAATTTAGCAAACACAAGCTGGTCACAAAGTGGGATTCGGTTTGGGAGTGAGGCACAAATTTGTTATTGTTCGAGGAATGGCATATCAGGCACCAGATTTAACGAATACGCAGATGAAGTTAAATCGTCGACCTCTCGTAGGTACCCTTTTGGGTACTGCCCCGCAAACGGTCAGGTTTCGCCCAGTCGACTGTTAGGGGAATGTCTAACAGGAGTAAGGCAAATTGACGCAGTTTAAGCAACACTTCATAAACTTGCTATGGCGTTGAACTCTGAATTGAAAAAAAAAGCTAATGGCTGATTGCCTTCGTGACTAAAAGACTCAATAACAGGTACTAGAAAAATTTAATATCTTAGTAGGATGGGTCAAAATAGCCTCATACCTTGTCAGCAGGAATGTTCAACCGCAACAAACGAACTAGTCGCTCATAAAATAGGAACACCAAATTGTGCAATAGTTAGTCGAGTAAGCTAAACTCGTTTTAGCAGTTACTGATGGACATATTTTGGACCCACTGGCCTGGAAATATTAGGTCTGCAAATTGATCATGATTGCTCTAAGACTTCGGTTAGTTTTCATTTTGGAGCCCAAGGATGGTGCTTGGATAGGTCTTGCAAATCCAATCCATAGAAGCTCCAACTCTCTTACATGGTTAACAACATGAGCAGCTTCTCCGCCTTTGGCAGATCCAATGACTATTCACTCCATGTCTGTCAGGCAAATTTGTCATCAAGTTTCAACGTCAATACTGCATCCTTATTCGTCGCCAAAGTTAAGCTTGTTTTCCAATGATTTATAGAATATAAAACAGTTTTTGTACTTACCGTTTTTTTGGACGATTGCTGCCAAAGATGGTCTTCTTAAGGCAATATATGGTTGATACTCAAAAGAAAAAATTAGTAATGACATAAAAGAAATCAAATTAGTTGTGCATCATAATTTAATTTGCTTTTACTAGTACATGACAGGGCATGAACAAAGTTGAGTCTTGAATCCTATGGACACGTAAGTTTACTAAGTAATGAAATCCTCTATTTAATCAATTTAATGTTAGAAAAGTCAGGCACTCCCTTAACATTTCTGAAAGGCTAACGTACATTCCCTAAAGCGTGATGTAAAGTCACACTACGCAAGACATAAATAAAAAAAAATAACGACTCAATATAATTATTTGTAACTTATAGACTTTTACGGCGAATATATTTATACAAAGTTTTAAAAAATGTCAAATTAAACCATGACTGACTAACAAGATACCGGAAAGCGTTTATCTAGCCGTTAACTTTGGTAAAATTATTTTGATTATTGCATGAAAGGTCATGAATGACATTTCCTATCCACTTACTGCACAGGCAATACAATTTACTAGTATGCTTATATCCTCATTCATGTCTACCGAATTCTTTGCCACATCTCCAAACCTTCAATTCCCTAGTCTATTTCATCACTCTCTGCCGTCACTTTCAAGCACTAACCCTGACTAAATTTTCTGCCTTCTAAAGGAAAACATAGATGGTGAGAGAACCCCAATATAACAGTGATGACTCGTTTCAAAGTGTTTTCAAACATCAATCCATTTCGTTAAACAAAATGTTCCAGTGAATGCGTGCAAATGTCAGGCTAGTTACTATTAAAAGAAGACATTTGACATTATGTAGATACCTTTATCAAAATTACAAACCAGACTCTATCTTGTGTTCTTAAAGTCATTGAATATCAGAAAAAGGAACACCGAAAAATTGTCATTATATAATCCAATGACATTAGATAGAGTGAGGGCATTCTGGAATTAAAGGTGCAAGATTTTTTAAATAACCCAGTAGCGTTAGGAAAATATGCGAAGGGAAAGGAAGATATAAGAGCATAAAAAGATAGGCAATTGTAAAAAGTGATCGGCAAAACAAGGGCAATCTAGAAATTTATTTAATGTATTTAATCCACCAAAAACGTTCAAATATAGGATAGTTATTCATCGATAATAAATTATGGAACTAAACGTAATGCTGCTAAACTTTGAGGTATTAAAGCGAATCGCTTTTGCTAACTATAAAGATGCTTCTAGGCTCGCCAACACTACGCAACTTGCTCTCGCCTCACATCAAAGGAGAAATGTTCACTGAAGTCGTTGCTCAGCAAAATGTAGGATCTTAGATATTAAAATCCCAAGCTTTTTAATGAACTGTACCGGATCTTTATAATGTAAAACTCCCGAAATCTCAAAAATCCCAGGACGTCAGCATTAAATAGGGCTGTTGAATTTAAACACAGGACCGTCTGAAGGGGGTCTTTTTTCGCCAGTGCTTCAACATAAATTCAAATTTATTATAAATTAAAGCATGAATGTCTAAAATTCGACCGTGAGCTTCAATAATTCAGTGTTAAGCATTAGTAGCCAGAAACTACTCTTAACAGTTAGGTTTCGTGTGAGCATCTGAGTCCTAGCAAGGCGAAGATATGAGCAACACAAAAGGCTCTGCCGTCAAAAAGCATATAGGAACCGCCGACGACCAAGGCTTGCATTGTTGATTAAGAATTCTATTATTTTGGCGCATGCCCAAATTTTATGTGCAAATATAACATTCAATCGAGAGGATTAGCTAAAACTGCATCGTAGTGTAATATGTCCGATCCCCTTAGAGGCAATGATGTAGTTTACTTGAGCCCAAGTATAATTAAGACTGGTACAACCGAACAGGCTTTATTGACCAATCATAGGCCAGAGCCACACGTCAGGCGCTATCCATCCGAGTCCACCACGCTGGCCACGCTGCTCAATATATACTGCACCTCAGTCGTGGCCTTTTCTGGTTGGCTGCTTCTCTTCCTCGCATGCCATTGGATCGCAGAGAGACACGGGATTGGCTGAGGCCAGGTGGTCCAACATGTCTGCGCCCTGATACGACGCC